TGTTAGTCAAGTTTGTAACAACTAGATAATCAAAAATGAAAATAATATCTCCTGTTGGAGATGTATACTGGATGGCAGATTGTCTATTGATTGCCACATGCGAACGGTTACCGGAATCCCCCCTCCCCCTGTAACCTTCTCGAGTGGTCGCTTTGTGTCGACGCCTTGAGCATCTGGTTGAGCAGTGTGTCTGAAGGTGTGCAATCCGGCCCACCCCTGTGCCCCAAGTCAACGTCGAACCTGCCAGCCCCTGCACATTATTTACCCTCGCATGCAAGGAGCCTTACACCCGGTTTGATCTGGCTGATCAGGAGGCATTTAAGGAGATCCCCCAAACTCCTCAGGAATTATTTAACGTCGCAGACAGGACGACGATCACAGCCAGAGTCAACACCGAGTCCCCGCCAGAAATATTTAAAGACGGTCTGGTAAGCGTCTGTCAAAGGGCTGGCATGCCCTGCATGACCTCTATTGCGCAAGCAGCAGAACCAAGGACTTGCGGCAAAGTATGCGTGTACTAGTCCCAGCGGGTTGGCATGGTGACCGTGACCGGCCCTTCAGAGACTTCGCCCGTCTCCCACGAGCTTGCTGCCCAGGAAGAATGTCGACTCTCAAGGTTGAGCGCTCGCGACACCTCACATCGAGAGGACTCTCAAGACAAGACTCACTTCCTCACGGTAAGAAGTAATGAAGAGGGTAGATAAGGAAGAGAGCAACGTACCTCATAATGCTGCCCCCAACCACAGATTTCTCACCGGCAATCTGATGTGCATTTATGATGACCGGTCTTTGCCTCGGCACAGCCAACAGCAGAATTCAGTTCCACCTCGGCTTAATATGTCACATCAGCGAGCTCTCATCATCCAGCATACACCCCGTATGTCACCACATAGCTTCCTGGCGCGCCCACACGACCCTGGGCCGCCTTATGTTCAACGCCCAAGCCTTATCACTGCCCCACACCTCATGTGAAGCACCGAACAGCTATTGCGAAGAACCAATGAAGCGCAATATGAACCAGCTCCAATACCAAATTGCAAGGAAAATAAGCAACAGAGAAATTCCAGATTACGTCATCACATTGAAAGCCAGATAGTCACACTGTGTCCAGAGAGCAGCATTGCACCAATAATACACCAATGGAGGTTCGTAGTACTGAAAACCAATGTCAAGGAGAGCTTCTATCTCCGCCACAACACAAGAGTCTAGTCCCTTCACACTCCTACTTGGCGCTCAGCGCCCAGCCTACTCCTACACAGCTACGATCAGCCTACTAGTAGACAATGCAACTGTTGACATCAGCGGCAACCCGAAGTACTTGAAGATGTCACCCTTATGCAGACCATCGCCAATACAAGGTATGTGTCCTCACATCATCATCATCATCATCCTTCGCCCTTCCCTGACTTATCAGTGTTATCACCCACGTATGTCCTCCCTTGCACCCGAAGACCACCCCTGCGCCTCACTGTACATCCAAGCCCAGCCCGCTATGAAGGCTGGCTATGGCGCTGCCCTCAGCAGCGCCCTGCCTCACCACACGACCGCACGTGCGCAGCCTCTTGCTCCAATGCCAGCAGCCAGCCCGCGAGCTATCACTCCAGCAGCGCTGCCGCCAGCCAGCAAGTGACCGAATGAGGCTGCCAGGGGAGAGCTCTTTCCTTT